TCGCCAGTGAAGGATCTGAAGAAGAAGGAGACGATCAGACGAGGGGAAAAAGAAAGGGGAGATAGTGGAGTGAGGAAGGAAGAGAACGAGAGAAGAGAGAGAGAGTTGGAGTGAGGAAGGAAGAGAACGTATTTTCATTTTCTAATTTTTGAAAACCATTTTTCAAAACGTCAAAAAGAACACATTTTCAAAAATTTCAAAATGGACACTCAAAACACAAAATACAAAATGAATTCAAAACTCAAAACACAAAACTTAAATACAAAGAGAACTACACTTAAGAGAAAAGCCTCAGAAATAGGGAAGAGAGCATAATGTCACTCACTTTGGTTTTCCGGATTTGGTAAAGACAGATTTTGGCCATCATCGGAGTTGGGCATCACCATCTCCCTAAAGCCGAGGAGTGATGGTTCCAATTTGGGGAAGCAGCTACAAGTTGATTCGGCAGGGAGAGACGATCTATTGACTTCAGCGGCGAGGAGAGACGATTATTCGGTAGGGGGAATGGAAATCTCTTCAAGCTTTCGGCGGGAGGAAATCTGAGTGGCGGGAGGAAATGTGTTTACCGAGTCTTCTTTTCTTTTTCACCTTTTCAATGTGTTTTGTCCTTTTGTTTTCCTTTCTCTCTTTTTCAATTGTTTGTTTGTTTGTGCCACGTCAGTTCATTTTAAATTTCTGGAGAACTTCTGTGAAACAGATTCTGTACAAGGGGCTTTTCTCTTATAAATATGTGTTATTTAGCCCCTGTTTGGTACACATTCTTTCAAAATATATTATTTCAAGACTCATTTTCAATCACACTTTCTTCAATAAAAATAATATTTTTCATCTTCAATAAAATAATATTTTTCATCACATCAATAACTTTTCATTACTTTTTAACTACATATTTCCTATCATATCACTATTTAAAATACATTATTTTCTCAATAATATCCATCAAACACACGTTTAGATAAGGTTTCATTAGACTCAAATTTTTACAATTATATCCAATCTGACAAATATTTTTTAGTCAACAACCTAGTAATTTAGAGCATATATTTTTCATAAATAAATCCAATCACATTGACAAGTTACACTGAAAACACTACGGAATAGACAAAGTAGAGGAAAAGATTTTCAAATTTCAACTTTAAGTTGATAGCCCGACAGCATATTTTTCGGCTTTCTACCCCACACCACACCACACCACACCCCCAACCCCCCTCCTCTCCTCTGTTTTTCACACACATTACTTTTTATGTGTGTTTCTAGAGACTAGCATGACTTTCCAACCCTCCATCATTTGTAATTTAGGACTTTCGAGTGAATTGTGATTCCACTGCCCATCAAGAAAGAAGAACAACGTTTTCTATTTATCTAACTTTATATTTAATTATCCTTGAATTTGGTCCTAAAATCTTGAATGAGTTCATATGTGACATGTTAAGCCCTTCATATTAAGGTTGTGGAAATTGAACGACTCCCTCATATGAAAATTTAAATCTCTAGATGCAATAACGAATGAATACTAGCATTTTACATAATTCAATTTATTTTGAAATCGTCACTTGAATCGACAATGAATTGCAATTGGAAATGTCTGTACCGAATTGTGATTGAGGAAGGCAAATATTAATAACTTTAGTTTGTTAGTGCGTAGGGAAGTCCGTTAACAAACTTGAAGATAAATGACACTCTCTACTCCCAAAGAATAAAGTAAGTTGTCTCGTTCATATTCAATATGGCATAAAAATAGATAAATATTTCAAGTTCAAGCCTAAAGTATCACTCCACTCATAAGATGTCGATCTTTTATTCCATATATCAACAAATAACATATTGAAATTTTACCATTGAACTATATATTTGGCTCTTTTGTAATCAGTCTAATGAAATGATAATTTGATATTTAACTAAGATAGAGAGGTATAGAGAATAATACCTGCAGAAAAGAAGGCCCTAGAGACGGGGTTCAAGAAAAATGCTAAAATAGCTCAAGAACTACTCGACTCACACTTGAATAAATGACTACATGATCCTAGGGGTGTTTAGTACTGTGAGCTGTGGGGACAAGTCGAGCAAGCCGTTCATTGGCCAACTTGCTCACAAATCAGATCGAATTGGCTTGGCACGACTTGCTCGGTTGCTCCACCAAGGGGTGAGCTCGTGGGACGAGTTGAGCTCAACTTTCTTGCTGCCAAGTGACTCGACTTGTCCCATTTAACACCCTTACTTGATCCACAAATTAAAAATTTTGCAGAACTAACCCCACTTATTTAAAAGAAAGACTACACCAAAATTAAAATTTGGGCTTACAATCACATTAAGATCCACAACAAGAGAGAAGTGCACAAGATTGTTCAGTCAAAATTGGTCACACATTTCGTGATTTATAAATACATACTTATTGCCTGCAGTCCGTGCAATGTCCACATGTGAAGAGGCAAGATTTAGTTGCAACAACATTTTTGAGGCTTGATGCATGTACAAATATTTAATAAATGCCCATTTGATTTTACTATGCAGCGTTTTTAATATTAGCAGAGAGAAGACAAATGTGCAGTAATGGTAAATTTACAAACTCCATGTCTCCATCGAAGGGGCCGGCTGACACTGCTCAGAACCTGAAACCAAAGAGTGAGATTTTAGGTCAATCCAAGCTAACTCTCGCCATTCATGTCAGGGGCCCACAAGGTAAAACTTGTGTGTGTTAAACAGTAATTTCAGTGGATTTACTATTGTTCCTCAATAAAGTCAAAATTTTAAAATGAAATCCTAAGAACTCAAAATATTATCAGTTCCCAAGCAATTCAATTCGCTTAAAATTCAAATGTGCAGTTAAATTCTAAAATCACTGCTTTCACAGGGGCAACCTGAACACAAACTTTAAAAATGAAACCTTACTAACTGCAAATTACATTAAGCTTTATCAAAGATTACATTGTCTGGTGATTCTACTTCTAAATGGTTAGTCAATTCAGCAGTTCAGACATAGTTCATAATTAAATTACACATATTCCATGGCTCCGTCATCTTTACAGAAATTAATAGTTCCAGTAATGACAGAATAATCCTAACTTCTTCCTTTCAACAATGACTACTCTTCTCAAGGCATCACTCTCACCCACTCGTACCGTCCAGGGAGGGGAACGTCATTCGCAACATCAAAATTATACCTACACAACGCCAAATACGGGAAAGTTAAGCTAAATTTTGCAAAAAATAATCATTTCTATAGTTAAGCATGTGAATTTCATACTTCTCCATAAAAAGACGCTGCTGCGACTGCTCAGCACGGGCAAAAAACTCCTCTATCTCACGTGCTGTAGGAATATTTCTGAGAATGGCATTCCGGGACCTCTGAATAGCTGCCTCTGGGCTCATCTGTCTTGTGGTCGAGCCAGGAGTCGAGACTGTGCCGGCAGCCCCAATCAAACTGCATGGCGTGCTTTCCCTAGTGCTCCTGCTGAAATGAAGAAACTGATTACAGCCAAACATTTATCACAACCCAACAAAACAAAACCCACTTGCAAAGTGAATTTCAGGCACTACTCCACATGCAGAAAATAAGATCACAGCACAAAGGGTAAAAGTGCAGGATCCAAGATACTCATTCATGGATAAGTACAAAAACAGAGATCTCACATACTTTTACAGTCTTAATCTACTGTGGCTGGCCCCGTGAAGAAGATGAATTATTGCAGTCACAGGTATAGTAAAACAAAGAAGAATTTGCTAATTTCCTCGATAAAATGATGGAGTCGAAATATAAACAGCCAGATCCACTATTTTTTCCCCCAAAATTCGAGCAATATAAGAGTGCAAATAGTCCTAGTAAACACAGTAGAAAACACTACTATGGTGTTCATCAGTATATTCAGGAATACAAAAATCAATCCACTTATATTCAAAATTTGGTTCCAACCACGTTCACGTATTTCATAATATTTACACAAGAAAATGTAACCAACAAAATCAATGAAGCAGCAACAATGGTGTAGGAAGCGGCAAAAAATTCAAGAACTACAACGACAACAACAACAAACTAAGCGACAAACAAATTTGCAATCGACTACATGATCCTTGCTTTCCAACCCGTTTTATTCATTACTAGATCTGCAAGAAGATTTTGAAGTAATATTATCGTGTGTTTGCATGGAACCGCAGGCATGTGTTTTTTTGGTTTTAATTTAAGGCTAGTGGGGCTGGCAGAGATGCAAATTATATATTTCATGAAAAAGAACCATCCAGTCACAAACGCTGGTTACCTTTTGTGAAAGCAATTTTACACAGTTTCCACATCTGTCACAACATAGTGCAATGAATAAAAACTAACCCCAGTAGGTATTAAAGGCATTCAAACTGAAAGAAAAAAATATATATGGCTTTTCCATTAAATACTTCACTGCTCAGAAATCACAGAGAGATGATTGCTTGAAAAAAACTTGACCACTTTACATACACACCTAAACATACAACCAAACATCCATGTTATATTGTAAAAGTTGTCAGAAAAACTATTTCCCCAGGAGAAACAAAAACCCAAAATAATAATAATAATTCGAAGCTTAGCTGATAAAAAAATTATTAGCAGGAAAAATCTCAAAAATTAACGCGGAGAAAAGTGGGGGAAAAACCTTTGGGGAAAAATAAAAAGTGGTTTGTAAGAGCAATAAAGGAAAAAATGTTTATTGAAAGTCCTCCTAAAGGGCTTCTTTTTTATTTTTGTATTTTTCTATCAATTAAAAAGCAACAAATTTGAGAGCTTTAGAAGCCATTACTCACTTTTTTTTTTAATCTCCAAAGATGTTGAAAAAGATTTACTTTTTCTGTTGTATACCAAAAAAAGAGTGAAATTTTCCCGGAAAAGGAACATGAATAAGAGTATTTTTGTAAAACAAAATAAAATACAAAGGAGAAGTGAAGTGAAGTGAAGTGAA